GGCCTGGTGCAGCACATTCAGTTGCCTGAGAACATCATAAACGAGAGATTCAGCTGGGTTCCAGGTGAGTCTCTCGAAAGAACCAAATTAGTTTGCAAATGAGTGTATATTCGCTAATCTTAGGGTTCTATTAATGTGGTGTCAGAAAAGGTATGTGCGAATCTAATTTAAACGCTGCGCGGAGCACTGACAACTCAGCCGGACGCTGGTTGTTAATTTTCGGAGCTTTGGACATTGTGGTCGATTTTACTTTTTGATTTGTTCCCGAGTTATTCATACGTACTGGCCAAAAACAAGATCCGGGTAAGTTACCTAGTGAGTCACGTTGCCTTGCATTGATCACAATTATTTGTTCCCCTTGTAATTCGTGCCTGAATCCGCGATCGAATTCACGTCAGCGTTTTCTTTCCAATTGTAACCCCCCGGCTGAGCTGATTGGTGCACTCCATTCGGCTGGCACTTCTAGGGACGTTTTTGTCCACGGTATTCATAACCTACCCGTTTATTGGACCCCGTATCAGCGTGATCCTATTCAAATTCTTTTCAATGAACAACTACCAGAGGCCTAAATCATCCAGAGTCAGCCTGATTTTGGAAATCCATGTTGTAATGGAATCCAGAAACACCGAGTATAGTTTCGAGGTGGCAAGTCCTCAATCGTACATAGGAATGAAAACGCCCCGGCATCTCATCCGGCAACTTGACAGATAACTGATTTCTTGTATGATTAGTTCTCAAAAGGTTGCACAAATCGGAGCTGTTTGGACGGGTTTGCTGTCGTGCTGAAATATCGCATCACTTTGGCTACTCCCTTTGTTCAGCTACGAACGTAAAAAAAACAAACAAGAAACAAAAAAAACTACGTAAAACAAAGACCGACAACTTGGAAGAATCCCTCTTGTTAATTTTTCAGGTTCGAGTTCGAAAACGATCCAGATGCACCTTTCTATGTTTAACGCCCTAAACTCTTCAGTCTGAGTAAAGGAATAGCTTACATTTAGCTCTATAAAATCATTTTTAAAACGTGCTTGAGCATTCACACTTCCCCTGCTTGGTTCTACATTAAATTAGTTTCACTTCCTGGTCGTGTAAAAGTACATAAACGTCCGTACCCCCCTCTAAGGTTCCGAGAATTTCTGTTTGTCAATCAAACCCTGGCATCCTGGATTGTCAGTCTAAAACGTCTGACGGTTGATTTATGTTTGCTTTCAAAAGTAACATTTTATCTGTTGAAAATACCTCTGAAATACATATGGCTGCGGCAGGAAATAAGTTTTTTTCTCACCACAACCAACCACTCTTGCTTCTGTAAATTCAATTCACAGAACAAACCGTTTGTGCCGACACTCAAATTTATCCGACCTGCTTTTCTGAAGTTCACAACACTCAGTGGCGATCCAGCCAATCCCAGCCCATTGCGCGAAGTAGAACCATCGAAGACGGTGTCCGGAACAAGTGAGGACAAAAGTGTAGTTGTCTGCCAGTTGGGTAGAGCCTTTCGTCCACGGTTTTGCAACTGGCCTCCTGACGCTGGTCAGTGTTGCTGGCCTAGTCAAGTGAGGACAAAGCGTTTGCGGTTCCACTGTTCCGGAGGAAAAATTGTCTATCATTTTTTTGAGTGGATACAAACGTGTCGATGCACTCCGGTTCCGTGTGAAGTACTGTTTGTCGACAAATTGTCCACTATCCAAGAACTGACCGCGTAACTTGACTGCGTCACGTTTGGTGAGTAAACACGTATAGTACTACCAAAGCCCATCTATTTCAGACAAAATGGTTTTCATTTTCAAGTCATTGCGCTCTCATAAAAGACAATGGGAGTTTTTTCCTAGGTGGTCATCCATCACTCAGTCATATGGTTTTGCTCAAATAGACATCTGTTTACAAACTTCTGTACTTTTCCGACTCCACGTTTCCTGAATGGTGGACAAATGAGTAGCTGAGTATTCAGTCAACAGAAGAACAGTCATTAGAAGCAAAGGGACACCGCTTCAGCAACACAGTGTAAGTCTTTCAAGTGGGAGAGGGGACGGTGAGTGTAAAGCGGCAAAGCAAAAACAGTTGGTAGAGAGTGATCTAACGGCCAGTAATCAGAAACGATTTCCAAATTACTGTTTTGTCCTGTCACGGGTATTCGTTCCACAACGCTGAAATAAGAGAGTTAGAGACCTGCGAAATGAACTATATTTCTTCATCCTGAGTGAAAAGTTGAATAAAATGAATGCAGATGAAGCAAATGGTAAAAGCAACAGATTTATGGTAAGTAAAAAACTCTTGTATTCCTAATGAAATCTGGCTCAACGCCTTTGGAACCTTACTCAAGGTGAGAATCAGTGATCAAAGATAAATTAACAGTGGACAGGAAGCGGTTGGTAATAACTGGGTAGATATTTTTCAGAGCAGGGTGTCTTGATCCAAAGAACATGTCAGATTCAAGTGAATGTCGCTAGGTGGGTTCCAAAATAAATGTAAGCGAATAAGATTTGCATGCAGAGAAATGAGAAACTCATTGACTAAGTCATCTGTCTACTCAAAAATACTGAGAGCTATGTTTGCTGGAATTTATTTTATATACAAAAACAAAAAAAACTTGAACAGAAACATAACCCAAAGGACAATCGATTGCAATCTTTCAAGTATTCGCGAAACATGTTGGAAAAACCTTCATTTGTAAATACTATTAGTGTTGACTTGAAATTCGAATAGGCATCTCGTTTGTCTTTTCAGGCAGATGTACAAAGCAAAGGTTGGCACAAATTTCATTATACCGCTATTTATACGATTGAATTATTTTTCCGTATCAACTGCATTAACTCTACGACTGTTTAAAACTGACTGGCATCACAAACTCACTTTGGCCTTTTTTGCGACATAAGGTGCATTTAATGCAAAATCACGTCAGTGTCTAAGTGCTAGCGTATGCACGCAAGCAAAAAGCAGACATAGCAGTGGTCTGCTGATAAAGTGGGCCAAAAAACGAAGCGTCTATTCTTTCAATAAAGTCCCGAAGCGCACAGCGCCCAATGTGGAAATGGTGTACATCTTAAAGCAATTGGTTTCTGTTTATCTAAAATTTCTATGAAACACTCTTGTTCGAATTCATCGAATGAGGACTTTCCGCTTGAAAAATTCAATACATTAATGTTTCCGCTCAGTCATTCACGATCTAACTTTCGTCCACCAAAATTGTCGCGATTCATATTTCTGTGATTCTGGGTTCGACCAAACTTGAAACACAATCTCTCTTACAAATCGAAGCTAGTCAGAATAACCTCTATCATAATCACGTGATATGATTCCCCATTCAGCTACTCTCTGGAGACGTTATGTGAAACTGCTCTAGTAAAGCCCGTCCGAGGACGAATGCATACTAATAATAAGAGTTCATCTCTAAAAACCGTTCGGTGCATCGGTGTGCTGAGGGAAGAATCAGGGCTAGGATACCGCCAGGATTTCCGGGTCTAGACAGGATCAGCCTATCTGTGGGGGCTCGGTTTGAACCACAGATCCTCTGGTCAGTAAATTGTCGCATCAACCACCGAGCCAACCCGACCTCTTGTTGTACTAACCCCACCAGTGATTTTTTTGGCTTCCGACTTACGCAGAGACCTCCTCATGTGGGATGGCTTTAACGGCCGATGTGTTATTAATTTCTGACGGAACATTTGCGTGAGAAGCTTCTCTAGGTAAGTATTATTTGACCATGAGTTTTGTAAAAGCTGACTACATCAGGAATTTTGGTATGCCCTGCGTGAATTCATTGGCCAGTAGACGGATTGGCGTGTATTGAAATGTCTTTTAAAAAATGTCTTTTAAGAAAATAGCATGCAAATCAAGACACTGCAAAATACGTGCAACATTATATTGTAATGGTTTAGAACATTCGGTTATTTCCAGTGAAGAGTTCGTCCTGTCGGTGAACCCACTCTATGCTGAAGGAGGGAACCACTGTCCAGCCGTTGTGAAACGTTAACATTTTGCATCACAGTTTGCATCCTAGAGGTTTCCTATCAGCGATTTCTCACATACATAACGTTTGGACTAAAGTGGCTCAACAGCAGTGTAATAAACCCACACATAGACAGGATGTAACGTCAATTATAGTTCAATCACGGAACTCATAGCTAGTGGTCACATGTTGACTGGCTTCGATGAAAGTTTCATTCATCTTGTTTAAAGGCGTGTTACTCATGGTGCTAATGAGCTGCTCGCATTCAACACTAGCCGGGAGGTTGGTGGTTCTAAACCCTCCGTGAGATGCGTACCACTGATGATTTCCAATAAGGACGAAATAGAAGTGTGTTGCTTCTCGACTTTTCAGCATATAGTAACTACACTTACAGGATGGGTTCCGAATCACTTCATACTAATAACAACTAAACCATCTGTCAAAAGCTGTTAGGGTACCTGGACGACATCGACGTAGTGCTCTCTGTGTACGTTGCACAAGGAGTTATTTGCTGGAGCTGATAAAACCTGTTAGGCCTGTAAGCCAGGAAGCCATTCGAATGTGTGACAGTATGTGGTGGCACAATCTAATCGAGGGGAGCTACACCTTTTTAAGTGTATCTCTGCGACGCTAACAGCAGAGACGTATTGTTTTGCACTCTATCATCGTCACGAACTTATAGTGAAAAAAATCAGCTTGGCTTAGATTTGATGAGTGAAGAAGCCCCTTGCACGGAGATCGTTTAATGCAATTTATGGACAATCTATCGTCCAGTTGCATTCTTATATTGTATCAAGGATATACTGTTGCTTCGTTGCGTAGGAATCAGACATAATTCAATGCGGGGGCACTAAAAAAGTTGTCAGGTTTGAAAGATCTAAACAGGTTTGACTGGACCTGCCAGTTGAGATGTTCCTCAACCGGAAACGTTGCTTCGGAATGCATCAGTCTTTCGGACTGATACCTAAGACAATTAGGTGTTTTCTTCTCAAGTTCACTTCATTTATAAGAATGATGAAACACTTCCGGTAAGAAGAGCTGACTGTGCTAATTCAGTATATGTACAGTGTATCACTCATGTAAATTTACGTTGAAGTTCAGTGACAAAAATTTGGCGACTGGCCTCACTTTATGAGCCCAAAACTTAGAAGAAATTGTTACTCTTACTAAAGTTACACGAAGTATTGCTCGTGAATTATAACTGTATTTGCTATAACACTTAGTGTTTCCTCTCATTGCCTGAAGATGGACAATCGAGCAAAATGGACTTTTTCCGACTTCTGTCCTTCTGGTTCTCACAAACACAAAACATGGTAAATCAATCAACCAATAGGAATGTTGTTAATGCTGCTATGAAGCTGGTTTGTATTGCAAACCAGCGAGCTGTTGAATAACCAACCTGCCTGGCAGATGAGACGAACCGAGTCTAGTTTGGCAGGAGAGTCTTGGCTAGCCTTGACTGTTTGCAAAGATTTTGTAAACACAGCCTAATGAAAACCGCACTTTCCAAAGTATGTTGGCGCCTACCTGATGAGCCCCAAGAAGAGCGAAACAGGTCGTGGGCTGTCGAAGAGTTTTCAGCAACCTTGTGAACAGTTTCCTCTATGAAAATATGTTCGAACATATTTGGATTGGTGAAGAGCGACACCACAAATAACGTAACAAGCATTGTTCGTTACTACCTTACGTCTTATGTCAATCAGGTGAGCAATCTTACCTCTTCTAAGTAATATGATGCACTTGCCATGGCAAGTAGTCTGAAAAACGTTTACGGATGATAGTGGGTAGCATGATCAAACAGTCATACATGAAGGAGTGAAACGGCCATAGATGGTCTGGCTACTCAATAAGTTACTTTGCCAGGAGTGTGTGGTAAAGAAATAAAAATAATAACGCTAGATTGAGAATAAAATAATAAAGAGGTCAGATGGAACAGACTCACTAATAATTGTTCTCTTTAAATGGTTCGTCCTGGGCCCGGGTCAGCGAATAAACAATAATCCATTTATGGTAGTCCAGGGGTCTTCTTCTGAACAGTTCCCACATATAATAGGTCCCGAAGATGGTCTGAAATGTTTTGATACCAGAGTTAGCACATGAGACTCACGAATGACCGCTGCAAGCGCGAGCAAAATCAGAAGAGAGAGTCGAAGCACGTGACCAAGTTTGTATTGCGTGAATCTTGTACAAGTGCACGTTTTTGTGGTTTTTTATTCAAACAAAAAACGATTATGCAATTGAGGAAATACGTACTGTTATAATGAAAGCTAAATAAAGGTACAAAACACCACAAGTTCGACGCCGGTAGCTTTCCGAGTGGCTTTTCTCCAACTTATTTCGTTTTGTTTGTTGTGTCTGTCTCTGCTTTCCATATTTAAGCGTTATTTGTACCGAACACAAAGTAACAGGAAAGCAGCTGTTAGCATATTTTGTTTTTTTCGAAGAGGGTATGTCTATATTCTGAGCACTGGGAACATCTACAGAGCGGATGGAAGCCGCGTGTAAGAACATGTGTCTCAGTTTGACATAGCGTGCGTCGTTTGCAACAGACGACGCAATGCCTAATAGAATAATTGTACAAGTTGTTGACAGTTGTTGTGGACCGCCCAAATATGTCGACACAGTCAATGAGCACACAATCTATTCAAACAAAACCGAGTGCGCTTAACCGAGTATCGTAGAAAAAAGATGTCAGTAAAAAAGAAGAAACGGTGACAGGTAATCTGAGGATTCTGGTCTAATCTAGTAAAATGGAGT